CAACAACAACAACAACAACAACAACAACAACAACAACAACAACAACAACAACAACAACAACAACAACAACAACAACAACAGCAGCAGCAGCAGCAGCAGCAGCAGCAGCAGCGGCAGCTGCAGCAGGAGCAGCTGCAGCAACTCTGGCGGGAGCAGCAGCAGAAACAGCAGCAACAGCAGCAGCAGCTCTGGTGGGAGCATCTCCAGCGGGAGCAGGAGGAGCAGCAGCAGCAGCTCTGGTGGGAGCAGCTCCAGCAGCAGTTTGCCAAGAATAATGCTCCTGTTTCCATGAACCATCTCCAGCCTAGCCAGGGCCCTCAACGCCATGGAGGAGGACAACAGACCCCTGAACTAGTAAGTGTATGAGAGAAATCGAACCCACTGCCCTATCTAACCTGTGCTAGGGTTCTCCTTCTACCTTGATTTACAACCCCAAGGGCGATGTCAAGTCGTTTCACGAGCCCACGTCCATCTTGGATTCCCCAGAAGATGATCCATACAATGTTTATCCAACCACCCCAGGCGAATCTCGAGCCGAGCCTTGGCTTTGGGGACAGGCAAACGACTCTCAAGGCGATTCCCCACTTAAGCATATCGATTTCGGCAATCCTTCCAATATCGAGAAGCATTTCGATATAGCCGGGGGTAATCTTTCGCCTTTCGGCGGGCCCATGTCCGACGAGTCCAGATGCAACCCATACCCAATGGACGCTTCTGATACACTTGGACCCGGACTTCGCCAGGACTTCATTAGCGCAGATAAGCTTCGAATCAAGCCCGCGGGTTTGATACAGCCAGGCTACCCCCACCCTCCACTGTTTCTTACCGCCCTCTTCAAAAAGCCTGCTTAGGGCCGCAAAACTACGTATGCCGTCCCCGAAAACCGGCCCGCCAAGCTGGGGACTCCGGTTTCTTCAGGCCTTGGGCCCTTGCCTAGGTACCTGGAGTACAAAGTCCCCTCCAAGCGGGAGGAAGGATTGCTTATTCCAGCGCCGGAGCCACACTCCTCGTCGAGCGGCACGGTTCCTTCCCTGCTATGATGGCCCCGATAGCTGAAGCAGAGGAATCCGCCAGGCTTGACAACAGGACTATGGGGCAGGCGGATCTCGAGGATTATATGCCAGAATTTAGCGTCGATTATTAATTACTTCAAGCCCAACGCCTGATTCAGAAAGGCAAGGGCGATCTTAGAGCCAGAGCTGAGGAATTTATCGCCTACCGCTTCGAAGAACTTAGAGGGACATACAGGGCAGTAAAGCTTCAATTCTAGTTCTAGACGCCATAGTCATGCAGAATAAAACCAAACACAATTCCTTTCCTACCTAAATTAACATTGCCTTACACTTGCCTACGCTAGCATATTCAATATCAAACGCATAGGTTATTGCGAAGCATATCAAGCTGCTTCCTTAGACTCATAGTAGTCTTGTCTAGGTTGCTGTTAGGCTGATCTGCTATGGTAGGCTCCTTCTTAGACCTACCCTAGACCTTCCCCTGGATGTCCCCTGCGACATAGACTACTACGTCTACTGTGCTAACTACCAGCTTTGCAATAGGGAACGGCAGCGAGGGCGTCTGAGCTAGGGAGTACAAGTGCCTTGGCTTTGTGTACAGCGACTGCTCCTCTATCAACAGCAGCAGTAAGTAGACAGTGTGCACGCGCCGATTAACTTCTTCCCATGCAGCATAGATGATTGCATATACCGCTGCCATGGTTTTGTTGTTTGTCTACTTTAAGAAGCTATCCTTGATGAGATTGGGTTGAGATCCCTAGACTAGGTCAAGATGACGATGAGGATGGAGAAGAATAGGAGTGCCTTCAAAGGGGAGCCAAGAAGAGAGCAAAACGGGAGGAGTTTGATACCTTCCTATGCCAGGACAGTTAGCCCGAGAGCCGTCCACTTTCTTGGAAGAGAATAAAAGAGCAGTGGCTGGAGAATCTTTCCAAGCATTAGCTGATCGAGAACTGTGCTATATGGTGACCTTTTTAGGCATCTGCCCCCCTGCTGCTTCTGCGCCTTTACCTCGCACCACTCATCGTGGGAGTCATGTGCCGTGGGTGTCACTCCCTGTTGGAGTTGCCGGACTGTCCGATTTTGGTGACACAGATGTCTAGCTGGAGGGGTTTTGCCAGCACGATGTTCTCAGACAAGCGAGTTTTTTGTGATGTGTGTGTGTTGCTTCGCATGTCAATTTCAGGGGCTCTCACGATGGGGTTGGTATGCGGGGGTAGTTGATGGTAACTCACAGATGGACTCATTGTTTTTCGAGGCGGGAGACTCGTGGCTGGCACATTTTTTTGGTGTGGGTGTTTTTGGTTGTCACGCCTTACTTTGGAGTCAGCCAAGAACACATCACCTAGTTGACATCCATGTGCAAGTGGTTAGTGCATCACAGGTGCTGTGGCAACGGCTTGCCAAAATTTCGACTATTGCTCTTGCCGTTGCTACTTATTGCTCTTGCCTTCGCTGTCTATTGCTCCTGCCGTCGCTGTCTATTGCTCTTGCCATACCTTCTATTGCTCTTGCTATTTCTACCAATAGCAATAGCAATAGTGACAGCAACGGCAGGTGTTACCAATTCATACCACCTAGTACAATACATTAGCACGTCTTTGGAGGACAAATACGAGCAGCTTTAGTAAAGGAACATACCTTAGCTATCTCCTTGTCATCCCTTTCGATTGTTTTCCCATCAGAACTGATCAGACTCGAGCAGGGGTCATATTCCTCGTCGTCGTCATTCTTTTTGCGCTTGCTTGGAGTCATTTTCAGTGCCGCTTTGCCCTTCCTCTTGGTTGGAGTCATTTTCACTGCCTCTTTGCCCTTCCCCTTGTTACTAGGTGCGACATTGCCGGCTGGAACACTGCCGGTTGAAACACTGCCACTCGCATGAGACTTTTTCTCCGCCTGAGATAACTTCTGTAGAACTGGTGGTAGTTAGTTAATGAGCGCACGGGGTTTAGAGGGGAACTTACAATAACGTGAAACGTCTGTCATGGCCTTCAGCCGCCATTCCAGTTCACTGGTGCCTCGAATATTCCTCATCAAGCGAAGTTCATGGAGTGGCATCAGCAGAACAGCCGATACCTGCATCGCTGTGAGGTTCGCACGCTCGGCTAGCGGACGAGCACGAAGCACATCTACGAATCGTTGGGCTATTTCTAAACGCTCGTCCATCTCGTCAACAGGGAGAATATCCTGGACGGTCCTCTTTTTGGGTTTGAACGCGAAATATGCGCTCATGGCATCAATGTCATACTTCTCGGTGGTTGGTGCCTCCAAGAACCTGTCCAACTCGTCGTGCAACAGCTTAGACACTGCAGGGTTCACTGGATCCATGGTGTAAGGCTGCAGAAAGTCAGGAAAACTACCTAATAAAGGCTGATGTAAGGGGGGGGGAAATGCATCTAACTTGCCTTGGTGGCGCTGGACCAAATGACGCCAAGAAGCTGCTCGTAAAGTTGTGGCAAGACAGAATTCGGATGTGACTTGTTGGCAACTTCGAACTTGTCGCGGTTTCGATGTTGAAGGGAAGAAACAGGCAACACGGTGGGGGAGCGGAGGGGGTGTCATATCCATGTTGGGATTCAAGGTTTGTGGCCAAGGTACGTACAGTAAGAGTACTTGTACGTACAATTCTCACCGCCGTATAAGGTATTATGCCGGCAGAATTTGTGGCGAGTCGGAGGTCCTCAGGAGGTGGGCGACCCTCGTCATTCACATCTGCACACGAGGCACCAGACGAGAGGTATGTATGTAACGCCAAGCCTGCCTCTGTCCCCCTCTATATTGCAGTGGGTGATCTGGTCAAATTATCGACCAAGAATGTGCGGTTGAAGACCCCAAGCTCAGTCACCGTTGGATCGGATTATTCAGGGTCACTAAAGTTCTGAACGGGTTGGTGGTGGCTAGATTTACCAGTTGGCACTGTCTGACAAGTCAAGATGCCTTCACGACTGTAACCCCTAAGCGTCACATTTCTTCCGCTGCAACGGTTGATCCCACCCACACTGCGAGTGCCCACCATCTGTCCACCATCTGTCCATCTCCCTCCCCTTGGAACTTGCAGCCATGACGTGCTGACTGCATTCCCAAATATAGCCCATCTCCATCTACATCTCTCTCTCCGGTCAATCGTGCCGAGCTCGGAGCAACGTCCGGCGGGACAGCACCACCCCCGCCGCTTCCGCCCCCGTCGAGAAAGGCGGCCAAGCTGGCGGCGCTGGAGCAATGTCGGGTCGAGAAGGCGGCTGAGGCGTATGCCGCTGCGGTCGGACTGCCTCCAGAGCCGTTTCCCACGCATCCGCCCGGTCCCGACCCACAGTCGCAGCCATCAGTCCTAGTGCGGTCCGTTGGGCGCATCACCTCCTTCGCCGGGGCGGGGGGGGGGGGCGCCCCCCCCCCCGGGGGGGGGGGGGGGGGGGGGGGGGCGGGGGCGCC